TATCAAATCTTCAGATTTGGATTCAGCTGAATCAAATCAGGGACAGTGATCTGAATCAACTAATTGAATCACTGTCCCCGATTTGGGCCGAATCCAAATCGAATACAGCCCGTTTCGCACACCCCTATTGTATATGCACTCCAACTCAAAAGAGTCCTTTTAATACTAACACTTTCCAGGCTTAATTTTCTGCTGCCATATAGGTGCATCTACACATCACTGTTTGGCAATGTTCCTACAGCGCTATGCTTTAACACTTCCTTTTGGCAGTATAGGCAGTTACTGCACCACGCGTGCAGCGCGCAGGTAAATTTTACTGCTACGTCACCATGATCACTTGTAGACGCGCGATCGCTACGATGACATAGTGAGTTGTTACATTGCCATAGGGCGATGTGCAAATGCACCCTATATGTTTAAACAGTCATTTAAATGTGTTCCCTTTGTAAAGTGTTACCAAACTGAATTGTTTCCTCATTTTATGCTGGTGGCAGTGATGAACAATTAAGTTTTTATGGGCATAAATGGCTATACAAGTATAAGAATGAAAGTGGTGACTTCTCCACAATAAGAAGCAAGTTATTTGAACTAATAATTGCCTAGACTGGAGAATTCATAGCAAGCAAAATAACTTTTATAAGTGAATCTCAGAAATACCCTTCTACCCAAATTCTAACAGCTATATTGATGCTATTCATAACTTTCATCATGTCATGTGTAAGTTCTCCATGCTAATAGCCACAAGAATTATGACATTATTTTTTCATTGTGCTATTTGTATTTTGCCACAAGAGGTTGCTATCAATGTCTGAGATGCTTATCCAATTTGATTTTCCAGTTACCTATTTTGGATGTTTCTCATGAGAAATAAGATCAGAAAAAGAAAAACCCAGCTTGATCCATCATGCCTCTTCCCTCATGTCTTTCATTTGTTTTTATCTTAAATCTACTTTAGCATTTTTCACCATACTCTTAATTCTTCTCCCCCAGCCATTAAACCTAGAATCTACCTTAGGAAATTTGAGAAAAAGCTTCCTGTTGCTGCTACCACTGGGAGAAGTGAACTGATGCTAACTAATGACAGCTCTTAGCGTTTAGATAATAAGTTAAATTAAAGTGGCAAATGTGCCAGAGCTGCTAAAATATCAGTGACTACATTTCTACTAAACATCTGTTCATCTGAAGTGGCACAAGTAGGAATTCCCTAGTGTAATGGAAACCCAGGTATCTCTTGTACATATTTATACCTGTCTTTAGGTTTCTGTATTGAGCAGTAACTGATGCAGTATTTATAACTATTTACATGAAACTTCTTCTTGTGGTTTCCCCCCTTTCTTGTGTTTTTACACATTATGAAACTGTCCAGAGCTTGAAAGCCTCCCCCATGTCACAAACTTCTCTCTTCCAAGTTTCTTCTATTGCTTTCTGCTGCCACCTGAATAGTATACTTCCCATCCATGAACCCTGTTTTAGCTGTCGTCACCTTTATGCTACTCCTTTTCCACATTATCTTTCGGATGTAGCAAACAATATTCCTGATAGGAGAAAAGTCTAATAAATGCCTTATTCAACAACAATACTGGCCCTTTTAAGAAATCCTTCATGCACATGATTTACTCAATTCAAAGGGAGCATCTGGTTTTCAGTATAAAACCATACTTTTTACCCAGGATTTCATTTGAGCTGATATATATGGAGAAGCTAAGGCTCAGATCCCTAGGAGGTTTTTAACTACATGGGTCCTTTTTAGGTACCTCATTTTCATTTATTTCCAAAGGATGTTAGGCACTTCACTGTTTTTGATTTGACCCTAAGTGTATGACGATTTAGTAGCTCAGATAGACTAAAAATCCAAGATCCCTTTAGTTCCACCTTCCCATCAAAAGACACGGCTTCCTACAGAGAGAAACCAGTCAGTGGAATTTAAATCTTGATAGCAAAAAGGCAGCAACTTACGTAACTAGGAGTCTTCCTTCCCAAAGACTTTTTTTTGTCATAATATTGTTGTGACTACTCAGTCAGGTGACTTTTTCTGATAAAGATAGAATATCAACATGGAAAGTTATCAGAGATCTATCTGAATTTGGCACCTATCTTTCAAAAGGACCTCATTTCCTTCCTACTTCCTAGTAATTCCAGAATAAAAAATCCTTACTAGCATTAATGAACTAGAAATACAAACTTTTATTTCTACCCAGGAGAACTTTGACAATCTTTTCTCTGATGCCTGACGAAGGGTGTTTGTGCCTGAAAGCTTTGAAATTAAAGAATTTTTTTTGCAAAAATCGTGTTTGTCTAATAAAAGATACCATGTCTACCACAAGTCTTGATTGCCTTTTCCTCTGACCAATACAGCTACAACCCGGATCCCTGACTAGCACGATGGCATGCATTAGAAAGGACTGCTCAATTCCCCAAAACAGGAGGCGACGCAGGTGGAGGCGCGACACAACCTGGCCGCTGCCGTCAGGCAGCAGGTTCCTCGGCAGGATCTTGTGGCAGTCGTGCAGCTCTAATAACTTTCCATGTTAATATCTTATCTTTTATCAGAGATGTATCTGAATTTGGCATCTATCTTTCAAAAGGACCTCATTTCCTTCCTACTTCCTAGTAATTCCAGGATAAAAATCCTTACTAGCATTAATGAACTAGAAATATGAACTTTCATTTCTACCCAGGAGAACTTTGACAATCTTTTCTCTGATGCCTGATGAAGGGTGTTGGTGCCCGGAAGCTGGCAATTAGAGAATTTTTTTTGCAAAGATCTTGTTGGTCTAATAAAACATCATCTCTACTGTGAGTTCTGATTGACTTTTCCTCTCGACCAATACGGCTACAACCCAGATACCTGATACATGGAAGATATCGAATTTTAGCTGATTTTTAAAAAAATGAAATCGTCATATTTTCCCAGGCAGGAAGCAACTGCGACCACCTGAAACCTGAGATCCTCCTCCTGCCTTTGTTTCAAGGTAATTTGCATCATCACAGATCCTCACAGGAGGTGAGAGGCTTCACACCAGCTATGAATGGACTGCCCAGAGGAGTTTTCCATGTATTGACTCCTCTGTGAAATCCTATGAAATACGAACTTTCATTTCTACCCAAGAGAACTTTGACAATCTTTTCTCCGATGCCTGATGAAGGGTGTTTGTGCCCAAAAGCTTTGCAATTAAAGAATTTTTTTTTGCAAAAATCTTGTCAGTCTAATACAGGAATGTACAACCTTCTTGAATGTGGGGCCAGATCACCAACTTTTTATCACCCAGTAGGCCAGCGAGCCATATTCAAAGACCTCACAGGAAGTGGTATCACATCAGGAAGTGATGTCACGTGACCTTTGACACCAATGAAGTTGCAGGAAGTGACAATGAAATTGGTCTCACCACTTCAAAACTGTCTCTCTAAATTACTCATTTCCTGGATTGCAGCAAGTAAGCTGGAGTTCTCAGATAATATGCAAGTGTCGCAGAGACGTTAATGTCACAGTCCATCAGTCCAGTTGCCATGGGCTTTAGAGTCCCAGTGAAGACATTAGCATTATTTCTGGTTGTGCAATGTCTGAGCATCCCCAGTGGAGGGAAGCAATCCCACTACAATTAATTCATTTTACCCAACAACATATATCAAATCCTTCCAGGGAAACATCTATTTCATTCCACCACGTTTTCTGCCAGGAACTCTTCTCCCCTTTGCTGTACACCTCCAATGTCAACGAGGGGTTGCAGGGTCTGGTGGGTCTCTGCCCTCTGAAGAAGCTTTCTCACCACTAGAGACTATTGGGGAGGGCCCGCCCCCCGTCAAACCACAGCTAGCCATAGTTTTCCTTTGGCTAAAGTTTCGGGGCCACACCTGGCACCACGCAAATGCCTGGGCATTCTGGCGCAGGGAGGCAAGGAGGAGCCGCCGGGGCCGGTGCAGAAGGGAAGCACGGCCACGCACATGGAGCCCAGAGTCCGTGCAAGGACCCGCAGAGGCGCTCAGGCCCCGTGCCTGTAAACGGAGCAGGATTTGGCCTGAGGGGTTAGGGCGCCTCTTGGCGCTGAACCAACACTCCGTGAGCAGCACGTCCCCGGGGCCGCGGGCTTCCACTCCTCTCCTGACTGCGCCAGACTCTTCTCTGGCCCAGCCCCACGCCGGGCACAGAGCTGCGAGAAACCTCACCGGGGCAGCCCCCAACCCGGTGAGGGATCCTGGAGCCCAGCAGGGGCAGCGCGGCGGGAGACATGGTGAGGACAGTTGAAGGGCGGCTTCAGCTGCATGCCGCTTTTCCTGGCCAGTGCTGACCCGGCTGGGTCCGTCCCATCCGGAGCAGCACGCGGCTGCTTCCCACGTGCTGCTGGGGACGGGAGGAAGTCGGCCATCCCCAGCAGCACGTGGGAATCAATCCAGCTTCAGCTGCATGCTGCTCTGGATGGGACAGACCCGCCTGGGTCGGCACCAGCCAGCAGAGGCAGTGGCAGAGCTGTGTGCCACTTGGGACTGACCGGCGCAAGTAGGGGGGAAATGCAGCTGAGCCCCTGCTGCTTCGGCTGGGCTCATCCTGTCCTGAGCAGCACATGGTTACTCCTCTTCCCACACGCACCGCATCGGCAACGTTAAGCTGACGCGGTGCGTGTGGGAACCTTGTCCCTTTTCCAGCCCTTCAGCAGCCATTTGAAAGCTGCTGAGGGGCTGGGGGAGGGACAAGAGGAGGGAACCAAAGTAAACTCTGTTTACTTCCATTTCCCGTCGCAGCACCGCGGGCCACAGACGATGCCTTGGCAGGCCGCGTGTTGGACAAGCCTGGTTTAATAAAAGATAACATCTCTACCATGAGTCTTGATCACCTTTTCCTCTGACCAATACAGCCACAACCCGGATCCCTGACTAGCACGACGGCATGCATTAGACAGGACTGCTCAGTTCCCCAAAACAGCAGGCAGCAGGTTGCTGGGCAGGATCGTGCGGCAGCACAGCTCTAATAACTTTCCATATTAATATCTTATCTTTTTTCAGAGATGTATCTGAATTTGGCACCTATCTTTCAAAAGGACCTCACTTCCTTCCTACTTCCTAGTAAGGATTTTTATTCTGGAATTACTAGCATTAATGAACTAGAAATAACATTCATTTCTACCCAGGAGAACTTCGACAAGCGTTTCTCCGACGCCTGGCGAAGGGTGTTGGTGCCCGAAAGCTTTGCAAGTCGAGAATTATTTTTTGTTGCAAAAAAGTCTCGTTAGTCTAATAAAAATCATCTCTACTCCGTCTGTCATCCCCACGACGAGTCCTGATAGCCGCATTGGTCTAGAGGGAAAGGCAACAACCCGGATCCCTGACTGGCACGATGGCAGACACGGCTCTTTGGATGAATCGGACATCTTTTATTAGGCCGACTTAAACAGTAGGGAAATAATTTTTTTAGCAAGCTTTCGGGTTTAAAAACCCTTGGTCAGGCTGAGGAAAGTGTGCTCTTCCTGGATGAAATGAAAAGTAAATACGTGACTTAGCAGGATGGCATTCATTACACAGCGACCACACACACGAGATGCCAGGCTCATGGGGTAAGTTAAAACACGGGAGGAAAATGTAAAGTGTTTTCTCAAGATGCACCTGGTGCAACAGGTCAGCCCACGCCCGGCTGGATTTGGAAAGTGAAGCTGCCGGTCGAAGGGGGCGGTCGCGGTTTGCTCTGGGGCTGGTTTCCGTCGCCGGGGGAGCGTCCGGCCGCGCGCAGCGGGGAAACCGGGCGGCGGCGGCAGCGCTGAGGAGGCGGCGGCGGCGGCGCTTGGGGGCACCCGGCCCA